AAAGTCCAAAATTAAACAGTAGTATAAATATAATACTCCAAGTCAACTTCTCATTACGATCTTTGATTCTCCCTCGTGGTATTTATAATGAGAGAAGGAAGTGTTTCTATCCTACCGACATACTCAAAAGTCATCATTCAATTTCACCATTAAATCTCAAGGAATAATTCACTCTTCCAAAGTTTCTATTGCATATCTGAAATTAAGCTTGAACATACCATACTACCCATGGACAGTCCAGAATATTCATTTATGTGGTAGTTACTCGCCTAAATTTCAGTACTAAAACTTTCCCCTTTATTATAAGTCATGATCATATCTTACAGTCCTTGAAAAGACATATGATTGGTTAATTACCGCTCATCAAACAATGAATTGACTTGTATCAAAGTTTTGTTGCACATCTAATATTGGGCGCGAGTTTATGAACTCGCTTCTCAATTAAAGGTCAAGTGATTTCTTCTTAATCCTAACTATAATTGGTTAATTAAGTAAATGATTGAGGTTTCTCAAAATTTATGGTGCACATCTAGAATTGGGCGCGAGTTTTTGAATTCGTTAGTGGAGAATTTATAGGGGTGAACCCCGTTGGCGAGCATAAATTTCTTTGTTGTCACATGCAGTCAGCTTGACAATGAATGAATCTGGTACGTCTGGGTACATTTCAGCTGGGAAAAGTTTCTTAGTAAGGTCATCTGTGCAATCATTTCATGTATAGCATTACTGCTTCCTTTTTCCTATAGATAATGTAAGGTAGGGTTACAAGGTAGGGTTACAAGGTAGGGTTACATTTTCCTCCAATTTTCAAGTTTAGGTGTGGAAACTGTGTACATGAGAACGTACATGAGAACGTACATGAGAATTACATGAGAAGATAGGTTTCATATTCCGTCTCCATTTCCACCCTGGAAGTTAAGCTATTTGAATCATTTATGATTCATGTGACTTAAAAATAGATTGAACGTTATATTTCGGGCTTCTCGCTTATCATTTGAAATGTTGATATTTTGGGCATTCACTTCATAATCTCTCCACAGATATCTAGGTACTCAAACATCACTTCAAACATATCTCTGATTGGTTTTCAATATAATTCTTCATGCAAACCATTATAGTTATCTTTGAGTATGTAAATAAAATAGAATCAAGTAACAAACCCGAAAAGAATGTCATTTTAAATCACCTGATTCGGAACGGAGAATAGATATTTACCCGTACTAAGCTAGCTCGAGGCTAGTTACACAAATCAAGAGAACTCTTTAGTTGTACGTACATTCGTACTAAAAATGAAAAGATCTAGCCCATTAATTCTTTAAAGTAGTTTCTACCAGTGATTTACATTCACGTGTCGAGATTTCCCCATTTTCTCCATTCCAAATAAAGTATGGGGGGTAGTAGTGGGGTAAACCATACATCTTCAATCCTAAAGCGGGACTTCTGCATTACAACCCAAATGATTAAACTCTCCTTCTTTCGGTTTATCATACATCAAAGTGGATATTCTACCCACAATAAACCTCAACGGAACTACATATTCTAGGTAAATGTAAATCAAACGACTTTGACAACACGTGGAGTATAAATAACCAAGTCATTATTACAGTAGTAGAAAAGAAGGCAGTTGCGGCAAAATAAGATATGCAACAAATTATTAAATATCATAATGTAGTAACACAAAGTAAAGTCAGTGGAATCAGTGGAGTCAGTGAAACTCTATGTAAGTATCCCCGCCTTAAAACCAACACCATAAGTAGTACAAGGACGATAATTTATTAAGTTGACACCATAGATGGTGGATATACCGCGGAGCAGTCCGCAAATCGAGATATGCAACAAAAAGATATCAAAAATATGATAAATGTATAATAGTTAAAAGTCGAATAGAAAGTATACTAAGTTACATTTTAAGTCGTACTGAAGTCTGTAATTGATCAAAATGTAATACAGATGATGTAGTAATCCCCGTTATATGAGACTCGATGTGCAACAAACGTGGTTATAAAGATGGATTTGTAAAATTTATGCGTGTTTGCGTGAGAGGGGAATTTTAATGTATGATGATGTGGTTTTACGAAAGGAGGGGTAAAGTTTGAGATAAAGTTAAAAAATTATTCGTGATTGTATGTGTGGGTGTGAGTATATTGAAGATAGTATGTGAAGTTAATTATTCGTTACTCCTCTCACAGTGACTTCTCTCACAGTGAACTTCTCTCACAGTAGACTCCTCTCACAGTAGACTCCTCTCACAGTAGACTCCTCTCAAAGTAGACTCCTCTCACAGTGGCAGACTCATACTTCGGATACATCGATTATGCACCTCATACCTAATTCATTCATACTCGCATATATCCCTTGAAAAATGATCATCTCCAATTCGGGCTCATAGTCAAATTTTTAATTCTTACTAGTAATTTTAAGGAGATGCCCGAAACCTAAGATATGCAACAAATAACCTGATGCATCATGCATATTACCAAAGACTAAACCATGGAATGATCCGCAGATTACGATGTGCAACAAAACCAAGTCCTTGGGAAGTACCCGCATGCGTTTATGGTGGCATGATTGATGAAGTAGTGTAACATTATTAGAAAGGCTCGTGATGTAAATTAGTTATCGATAATTATCTTGAATGTCACTGGTGTGAGCCTTGTCGTCCAGGAGAAGTTAGTTATACGAGGATTAATTTGTAAGGCTGTATGTATAACAGTTGATGAAGCTGTGAAATGTTTGTTTATTAGAAGATTTCTCATGATTTATATTTTGGAAATAAAATAGATGGGATATTCTTCGGCAATTGAATATATTTTCTACTCCCGAGAATTATAAGCCGAGGATTTATCTCCTAGATTATACACAGCATTGGGTTTGGAAGATGATTCCAATATTTAATAGTAAAACAATCATCACACGTCTATGTTTAACCTCGTAGTGTTGATTTACCTGAAAAGTGATTCTAATTTTTGGATGAATCGTCGTTTCGAATTATCCGACTTGCCCCTATTGCCCCTATTTAGGCGTGTTTAAATCATTAATCGCTTCCAATTAAAGCTATAAAAATAGATTGTCTTAATAAAATACTCTGAAATAAAGTCATAAGGTATTTCTAGACTGAAGCTGGAATAATATCCAACATTACAATCCGAACTATATATCCAATGTGAGTGGAATTCAAACCAGACGAAATATACTTATCAATTTTGAAGTAGAGTCAGGATGTAAGAATTCGGATTTGAAAAAAAGGAGATCCTACTTGTGGACCTTGTCATGGTGGGAATATAGTTAGTAATTTTATCTCATCTTTATTCTCTCAGCAGATCTCAGGGCAATACTTCTCTCAGCATACATCAAAGCAATACTTCCCTCAGTACATCTACAGAAATACTAATTTTTCTATAGAATGACAAAGAAAGTGGTGTCTTTGCCGAAATTTTTTTAATAACAATAGATCTGGTCGGCGGTCTTACAGTCATAACAACCTGTAGTCCATCAAACTTTGATTAAGTCGAATCACTCGGCGCAGATGTAGTTTTTAATTATCATTCTCCCACTTGTGAAGCTGATATTCGAGCTTATACTAATTCATCTCTTCATTATATATATGATTGTATATGCTCTTAATCTACCATTGCCATGTGTGCTGAGGCATTTCCTGAAAAGGGTACTTTTATTGGGGAATTGAAATTCATTGGTGTACTTCCCGTTGAAATATTTTCAAGAAAGAATGAGGAGAATGTAGATGCTAAAGCTTTCTTAGTATACACGGCCTTTGGGAAAGCATTTTCAAAATTTGGTTTGAATATTCCATTCTATCCAGAGCATTATGAATTTTCAGTCCGTTTTTTGGAAGATAAGTTCAAAATTACTTGAAGAGGAAAGATAAAGAATCAACCTGCTATTATGAGACCAGAAGGATTAAAGGGAGTAATTGATGGGTAAGTTAATTCTTTATTCTGGTCAAAAAATGAATTTATATTAACAGGAGTTTAGTATGTTAGAAGTATCGGAAGGTAAAGTTAGTGCAGGGAAATTGGTTTATAAAATTGATGAAACCCCAACGGATGAAGAGTTGGAGAAGATGAATAATGAGGAAGAACAAGATCAAGTGACCTGATCTTTAACAAATCTCAATGGATGAAATGATTGATGATCAGAGTATTGAGGATATGTCACATGTCATTTGAGTCGTAATGGTCTTATTCATCGAGAAAGATAATGGACTTTCATCTCTTTTTGATTTACTTGAGCAATTTATCGTATTAATCAATATTTTAATTCAAATATTACATTGATCAATGACTCCACAAGTAGTTCATATATAAATTCAAAGGAGATAGTTATTAGTATCACAACAACAATCATCAATTATCCTCTCGAGGTCTTCTAACTAGAACCTATGCCATAACAGGACCAATAACAGAATCTTCAACCCCACCATCCCTATACCTCCTTCTTGCTACCCTTAATGCCTTCTCCTCCAATCGAGTACACCAGACTCGAATCTCACGTAATACATTTGTTTCAAAATGAGCCGCATTAACAATTTCGTTGATTGAAGTCTGACTGACGGAATAAATTCGCCAAAATCATGGCTTGTTACGACATCTTCTATAAAATTGGGTTCTGATGACTTCAATCAATAAGCGCGAGGGCATGAATCAAACATATGGATTTTGCACTTGGGTGAAAGAAATCCTTAGAGCAGATGAGATTGTGAAATAAAATGAAAAGAATAATATACTTGTTTTCAATTGAGTTACCGGTGCCGACTCATGGATTCGTCTACTCATCTCCTGAATCTTCGAATTCTTGAGTGGGGTGGGGTACAGATGACTACCAGTGTAACCAAAACTCTTTGCAATTCAAACTTCCGAAAGTATTTACAACTGAACATCAAAAAGTTAGTGCGAATCTAACTAACATCAAAATATTAGTACCAATACTAAATCTTAGAATGAATGAAAAAACTCACATCACCACAAACATATTCAGTATAACACTCAGTCCACTCGTTGAGTTTGAAAAGTACCCCTCTTTCTTGCTTGTAGCAATTTTTTACCCCAACAAAATTCGGCGAGTACAGCACTACCAATGATATCCCCAATGGATGCTTGTGGAGAATCATAACCAATTTCGATTGTAACAGTGAATGGATCTACGGGTACTATCACTGTCCATGAATTATCATGCCATTCGACTGTTTCGTATAGATTGATAGAGGCAAATGAATCGGGTGGTAAATGGGATTGGGCAGTTGATAAAGATGAATAGTATGAGATTTTAGAATAGGAAGATTGAGTAAGAGTGTTGTAACAATTAGGAGGGTAACATACTTCCAAAGTATCTCTAGTTGAGAGTAGAGCTGTAGAATTGGAGATGGAGAATGTAAAGAAAGATAATAAAAACAAGTGAAAATTGATGGATTTTGGAGAAAGCATTTTGATAGAAGGAATCAAGAAATGAATGACAAGAAGGGAGTTTCAAGATATATTTTGTATGAATTTTAGACCATATATCGTGGAGAAATGAATACCTTTATTGAAGGACTATATTAGGATGGAATAATAATTGACTTGGTCTATCATTGAATCGATGTGAAATTCACAAACCAAGACTGATGCCTGCTTGGCATTTAATATGTATTGAACCTGAATGGTAACGATTGAATTTCATTATGCATCAACAGTACAATAACACTTGATCAAAGTACGATGAGGCTTTTCCAAAAATCCTTCCAGCTGTAGGATAACGATCAATTGTGGATTTGAAGATTATGACTGGACTTGTGGCTTCCTGTCTCCATATACTTATAATGATGTGGAGAGATCCGGCCAATTGTGCATATTCTAGTTCTGTAAAAGTTTCTAGAATAGGTGAGACGAGCTACCGCATCAAAATATTACAAATTCAAGCAGAGAATGGTCGTTTCCCAAGTCGACCTTAGTATCAGCTGTTCACCTCTACCGGGCAATGACTAAACGACGGAAAACGGAGACATTCCAACCACGAGTGAATGATTGAAATTGAATAAACTTTGTTCGGCTTCCTTAGATGAAGACTTCATGAAGTATGAAGTCAAATTAAGTTTGTAATTCCGAACTTTAGCATTAAATCTCTCCACTCATATCCGACTACTCACATCCGACTATTCATATTCGACTACTCATGCCACTCATACTCGACTACTCATACTCTCCACTCATATTCGACTACTCATGCTCTCCACTCATACTATCCACTCATAATCGACTACTCCAATAAATTCAAGACCTCAACTATAGCATGGGCCAAATTTCCAGTCTCCCAGATTTTGTTGTGAGTTCCCTTCAAATGATTTTTGAGATTTTTCACCACCACTCCATTAATACCATGCAAATTTCTCAACATAACATCAATTTGTATCTCATCAACCAATTCATCATCTGGTGAAGTAGCAAAAGCAAGAATCTTTCCACTCTTTTCAAATTCCTCAAATGTGGAATATTTCGCTGGTGAAACTTCATCCCAAAGTTGTTCGTCAGACCCAAATGCTTGAGTGAGAAATTGATTGTATGCAGGATCAGGATGTGTTTGACGAAGTAATCTTAAATCGTAAATTCCAGCTACTCCAAGAACATATCGTGGGAGTTTGAAATTCAATTGCTCATCTGGTATACCACAAGAATGTAAATATTCTTTCCCCATCGAAATTTGCATTGATAGTGTTGCACCACATGAATGACCAAGGAGTAGATATTGATCTTCGATGGAGTATTTAGATTGTAAATAAGATAGTGCAGAACATATATCTTTTAAGTGATCAGGGTGCTTAGCATTGCGATATTCGTGTTTCGGAATTGATGAAGAATCTTGAGGAAAGGATGGATGAGAAGATAGACGATAATTGATGCTTGCAAATGATGCAATCTTGGATTCAACAGATGAAGTCACAAGACTATTCATCGTTGGAATGAAAGAAGAAGATGTCTCAAGTGGATCACGCCACGCTCCCCCATGAATATAACTGAAGAGATGTTAGAATGATGAATTGATATAAGTCACGTGATATATAAAAAGTGTGACGGATTCGGGAGTTTTTACATTACCCAAATCTTGGATGGAGTTGTGAAAGGTTCTCCAACGCCCATGAGAAGCTTATCATCTCTGGTTTGTTTTGTAAAGATACTCAAAGTCTGCAAGTCATGCTCTTCTGCGTATTTGACATCTTCTCTTAGAAAGTCAACAGGAGTATTGACTGATGGATCATCTTGATTAGTCATTTTGAATTTGACTTTTTGATCTTAAAACGTGGTGATGTGAATTTGGGAATGTCATCAAGAAGTAAGGCAAGACATCACCAATAATAAAGCTGTAATGTCGGAAAGTCTACTATCTTAGCAAGGATTGCGGGAATCGAGCTGATAGTTGGTAACACGCTAACGGATCGGAAGCGGAATGTCTTACATAAGTCATGATAAAGGTTCTAGTATTCCAAACTATTTACACAACACGGAAGCGGATGCGGAAATCATTCAGCTTAGATGTATCTACGAATCATTCCTATCTCGACGATAAGTGAGTGAGGGGTTTCATTCTAATGCAAGATGTTGCAGACTGCGTTTAACCAATTTGGAATTGCACCAGCTATCTCCATCATAGGTAAGAACTCTAGTGATGCAACAGAGAAGTTATAAAGAGAGTCAAGGTAAACACTCTTATGTTTTCATTTCTGGTCAAGTAAAGCATTTATCATTTTATTTAATTTATTTTATTTGGTTTCAATCATTTGATTTCAAACCCATCAGTATTTGTGAATTTATTTTGTCGATATTTCACATCATCCATCTTACAATTTTCATTATTCGGCGTCGATCAATATTAGCTCAATGGAGAATTCCTGGAGAGAATTGGATATTGGTGTGATTGGTGGTGGAATAGGTATATGCATAAATCCCATTTGGAATTATTCACAATAATTAACCGTCTGATAAAATAGGTGGTCTCGCTGCTGCCACAAGTTTACGACAAGCCGGACATCGAGTCACAATATATGAACGAGCAGATTTCGCTGGAGAAGTTGGTGCTTCTATATCTTGTGCGGCGAATGGCACAAAGTGGCTTGAAGAATGGGGTGTCAATATCTCAATTGGACGACCTGTGGTTCTAGAAAAACTTATATCGCATGATTGGAAAACTGGAGAGGTTCAAAATGTATATGATTTGGCCGACTACAAGAGTAGATGGGGATACGTTTACAATATGTTTCACAGAGTCAATATGCATGAGATGTTGATGGACTCTGCTACTGGGTCAAATCATTCCGGCATACCAGCAATTCTTAAATGCAATCACAAATGTGCCGAGATCGATCATGAACAAGGCATTGCTACTTTTGAGAATGATCTCCAAGTCAAACATGATTTGATTATTGGCGCAGATGGTATTGGGTCACAAGTACGAAAAACTTTAGGAATTGTGCCGGATCGAGAATTATCTACATCCACATGTTTGCATTGTATCATCGAAACAAAAGATGCACGGAGGTTAGGACTTCGAGATCTATCACCGAATAGTGCTATCGAATTTTGGGGTGGACAAGGAATTCACAAGATTGTCTTCTCACCATGTCGAGATGGAGAAGTTCACTCATTCTATTGTTTCTTTCCAACAAACGAAAGTCCTCACGCCGGTGAAGGTTGGAATATTAATCTTACCGTTGAAGATATTCTCCGACCATTTCCTGACCTCGACCCGGAACTTCTTGCATTATTCAAGAACTCAACTGACGTCAAACCATGGAGATTATTTGTTCATCAACCATATCCATATTGGCAAAAGGGTTCTACTTGTATTCTTGGTGATGCAGCACATCCTATGCTTCCAGATCAAAGTCAAGGGGCATGTCAGGCTTTAGAAGATGCGGCTGCATTGGGTATAATTTTTGGAAGGAAGTATGAATTTGCCAATTCAAAAGAAACCATTAGCGAGGGGTTAAAGTTGTATGAACAAATTCGTAAGCCTAGAGCTTCACGGGTACAAGCGGCTAGTGCTCGTGCTAGGGTAAATATCAATGAACGGATTGGATTTTCATCGAATACCAACAATCCTAATTACAAAGTATTGGATGAAAAGAAGAAATTAACTATCGAGGAGATGAATGAATATGATATGGATTTGGATATTGAGAGAAATATTTCGGGTACACAACTAGAAGTCGAGATGAGGGCTAGCTTATAAATTTTAGTACTTGTTTTTCATGGGTTGGGGGGACATCTAGGAGTATATTGAGGAGTACATTGAGGGGTACACTGAGGGGTACATTGTGGAGTACATCGAGGAGTACATCAAAGTACATCAAGGAGTCAACCTGGAGTCAACAAGGAGTACTTGATTTCTGAATACCCTAGATGGTATAATTTTCATTATTTTAGAAATTTTGATAATAGATTCATGATTCATGGTTCATGATTCATATTCAAAATTAAAATCATTCATAACAATATTGAAATCTTATAATGACTACACAATTTGTATTGAATAAAATATTCCTCACCACTCGGATAGAAAAGGAGGATGATCCGAATAATATCCGTTCTCCGCCGGGAACCCCTGCTCCTTCATTTGACCCAATCTGGTTAGTAACATAATTATGACTACTACTAGTGCATTAATTGCACTGACTTCTTTATCAATGAACTAAGTTTTATCCCACTCACGCATTTCAATTGATAAACAAACACCATGATAGATGAACTACCTCAATCTTTTTGCACATTTCATCGAAAGTGCTTCAATGTCAGAACGTCCAGCAAAACGTATTCGCCAAGCATGTGAGCCATGTCGGTACGTAATAGTTCTTTTCATTTGGATTAAGGGATGATCAGTATGAGAAGTGGGAATCAGTATGAGAAGTGGGAATCAGTATGAGAAGTGGGAATCAGTATGAGAAGTGGGAATTAAAGAACATGAATATATAAAATTGTTTTGACTGATGAATAACTTGGAATAGGCGCAAGAAAACGAGATGTCCGGGTGAAAAACCAATATGCTCACATTGTGCGAGATTAAGACAAAATTGTTATTATGCTGATGATGGTTTAAATCATGTCAATGAGAGAACCTCAATTGAGAAAACTCCATTACCGACACCGACTCGAATACCAGAGAAAAGCCATGTGAGATCATCAAATGATATAAATTTAGTAAGTCATAAATGTAAGACTTTGATTATGAATATGAGCGCTTACCAAATTTACTAGGAAGAGAGATTGAAATCAGTTGAGGCTCAACTTGCAGAGGTCCTTTCAAATCAAGTATCCATGAGTAGGGGTGCGTCAAGACATATGTCAAATTCCCCTGTTTTATCACAATTGGGACAGACAATGAGGACACCAAATGTTTTTAGGCTTTCGAGTAGGTGAGAAATTTCAATGCAGTAATTTATACGATCAATAAATTGACCAAATTAAAGCAAGCTTCCACCATATGAGGCAGTCATAAGTATTGCAAAAACTTACTTACTATACTGCGATTGTCAACCACTTCCTGTATTCTGTCGAAAGAGATTTGTTGAAACAATCAACGACCGTGATCCAGAAGTAATTTTCTCAATCCTAGCTTTGGCAATACGCTTTTCAGACGATGATATCTTCCGAGATAATCAATCTGAACTCATTACGGGATATGTAGAGGCAGCTCAATCGATTATCTCCGCCAGAATATTTGGAGGTCGAGTAGAACTCTCAACATTACAATCTTTATGCCTTCTTAGTTTAGTAGACTTCACTAGTATGTATGATACGTCCACAAAATACCACACAGCTGACACTTTTCAGATGGAAATACACGACAAGCAAGTGTACATAGTAGTCTAGCCATGAGTTTAGCCCATAATGCTGGTCTCACGACAGAAACTCATGCTCCTTTATCTGATTCGCTACGTGAAGAACGCCGACGATGTTTTTGGAGTTTATTTCTCCTCAAAAGATTACACGGAGCGGAGTTCAGTGTTATAGATTTCGCAGGTGAAGATAAATTTCCATGGTATCCAGAAACCACTGGTAAACCATTGAATCGTGGCCAGTTTACGAATGGAGAAACTCCCGATCTTTCATCTCCAGAGTTTGCTATATCTGATACTCAAGATAAAGGTGTCGTTGCTTATGCCATTCAACTTAGTGAAGTGTGGTTTAAGATTACCCGGTACGCGAGGAGACGTGGAAATCCAAGTACCTTACCCCCATGGTCTCCTCACTCAGATTACGCATTAATAATGGCTCAACAAATGGACTTTGAAACTCGTACCTCACAAATTCATCGCTTCAAATCAGCCAAATTCTCTCAAAGAACATCTGAAGAATTACATGCCAATCGAGATTATTGGGGTCCTTGGTTGTTCATTCAATTTTTATATCACACAAACCTTTGCCTATTAAATAATCCACTTTTATTATCACTTCGATTGAAACATCTCAAATCTAACATACCAGAAATATTCTTACAACATATTTCAGATTTGATCTCATCACATGCTAGTTGGGTCATTAGATATATTGATATGTTGGAAGTTAAATCTTTCAAAGTCTCTGATCCATTTCTTGCTCATTGTGTAGCAATTATTGCAACAATCTATTTACAAGAATGTTTTGCCGAGGATCCAATTGTACGACGAGAAAAACGAGATAACTTTGATAAGTGTTTGAAATTTATACGAGATTTTAAAGAATGGCCTCATGTTGATCGAATGGTAAGTTGATTTATTCTTGAGAATTTTTGGGGTACTAACATTAATTCAGGCGGAAAAACTTCAACGTCTTTGTGATACAGTTTCATCCACTTACACAAATCCTGATGCACCACCACAAACTCCTAACCGTAGTCTTCTCATTGATCTAGGTCAATTTTGGGAAATTCTTGAATACTCTTCCTCGAGTGAGATTCCCGCATTAGCTCGTCGTCTTTTTGGACCATCATTATATTCGGCTTCAATTCCTACTACTCATGAAATTAGTCATGCTTCATCACTACCAGAACCAACTAGAGTTGATGGACAAGATTTTGAAGGGTCTGGTCCTAATTCTGTCAATACTAGTGTGGTGAATTTAGGAAATGGAACGGAAGATCAAGAACAAGAACAAGAATTTATTCAACCACCATTTCATTATTCTGATGATGAATTGGCAGTTTTGGCGGAAAGTTTTTTTCATCAAAGAGGTGATGGAATGGGTCATATGGAGGATTGGTGGAGTACTGGGAATTTTAGTTGAGTCTTTTGACTTGAATGATTGGGATTAGGTTGTGGGGATGGTAAATGATTTATATCACTTGTAAATAATTTGGTAAATACAAAAGGAAATTTATGAAAATTCAAATGGGTATTTTGCATGCGAGCATTAGATGCACTTTGGACTAAGTATCGTTATTCCTTTTATACTGAAAGCTTGAGGGGTAGAGGTAAAAGCTTGTTTGGTGGTAAAGTACGACATTCTTGTGATGTTGGGCAGGAACGACAAAGAGACGGAATCCGTAGTGACAAACCTAGAACTACCTACAAAATGTCAAATCAATTATAATGAAACTCATCCCCTTGGTATTGGAAATTGTGCCCTTGAAACTTTTTTGATTGTTGATAATTCGGAAGCAGAGTACACTAAATAAATTCGCAGTAACAATTTCCGGTTCTCAGCACTTGCTGCCATTCAAAGACTTGACTAGAATAATGCGTTGTTCTAAAGGTAACTAACCACCTGTTCACCACTTTATCACTGTAAACAAAGAAAACCTGCTAAACTTTTGAACACACCTCAAAGGAATCTCGAACAAAGCTCAACTTGATAGAGAATAATTATGGAACAATGACCTAGTTCAGTCTATATAACTCTGGTGTTTTACAATCATTTTAGAAAAATCGTCCTCGTCTATTTGACTATCTCTACACTACACTACACTACACTACACTACACTACACTACACTACACTACACTACACTACTCAAGTAATAGAATTAGATATCCCAGGCTTCATTCAGCTCACAAGAAATAGAAATTACTTTCGAGATGAATTCTCAAGATCAATCTTCTGATCAAGCTCCGGCTCAAGATCAATCATCTAATGATCAAGCTCCGGCTCAATCATCTGACAGTCAAACCCCAGTTGATTTCACACTTTTCCCACAAATTCCCCTAGACATACGAGTCATGATCTGGAAGGCTACTTTAACTCCTCGTGTGTTTAGTAGACGATGCTTGAGCCCTAACAGCAACCAATCTCTATATTCTGTCAACATCTCTTCTTTACTTAGTGTTAATGCAGAGACCAGATATGAAGCGTTAAAATGGTACAAAGACATAGCGATTTCTGCCGAGCGTCTTCATAATCTGAGACTTTCTGGGGGGATTTTTTGGATTCCCAAGGGGGGAGAAACTCAGAATTCTCTTCAACCCTGAGATTGACGTGATAGTCGATGAAAACCTTCGTTGTGATGTTTATCCATTATCTAGTCGTGACCGTTTCAACGCTAACACGCCGAGCAAAAGTCCACTACTCATAGACCCCGACTTTGTCAAGAAGGTTCAAGTATCTCCCGAGGTTTTTATGAATTCTTCTTGGACTTGGAACCAGATGTTACGGAACTGGCAAGATAATTACCACAGATTTGAGGACATCGGACTTGGGTGGTACGAAATGAATCGACATCGCATCATGTTCACATACTTACGATTTAACAATTTGAACGAGTTCATTCTTCAGGATGTTGATTGCGCTCTTCCACATAAACTTGATTCTCCGGACACGAGAGCAACATGTAAGAGATTTCTGAGCACTATGTTCCAGGCCGAAATAACTCGCGAGTCGAAAGCTCATATCCAAGTCTCAATTCCGATAATCATTGTCCTTCCAGGTGCAAAGGTAAGCCTTTGTGATCATTGCATTGTCCGATTCACTCCATGGACCAAGTGGCCATTGGAGCAGCCATTCCCACCCTACTAGTAAGTCGATGGTGGAAAGGCTGAGAACGAATTGCGAAGAAGTTGAGTAGGGATAAGTGTCGCTGGCGATACATCCACTGATTGATTGATTGATTAATTGATTGATTGAATTTACGTTCACCTTCAGTCTAAGACTATATAGGACAGCTAGGCCCGATAGGCTCAACAGGTAACTTTTTGATTTACAATATTGATTATAATCTTATTAAAGAAAAGAAAACAAATATTAGGAAACAATGCCCATTCATTATATATTATATATATAATAAGAAAATTCTAATAATCAAGAAATTATAAGAAGATCAAGTCCTTCTTTTATTTCCTTAATTATTTCTTTTTCATTATCTTCTCTTCTCTTCTTTTCCATTACTATTTCTTTCTTTATTACTTCTTATTCAAAAGTTCTTACTAAATACTATACCCTTATAGCAATTTTGATAATATTAATAAATTTGATAGCTAATTCGATACCTATTTTAATATACAATAGAAATTGTATAGTGATTTTCGATAATAGTATAATTCTAGAATATCTCTTTTCTTTTTATTTTGTATATAAGACAACTAATCAGAAGATATTGCGGTATCTCAATATTATTGCATATACATCTATTATTAAAATGATTAAATCGATATAGATATGATTTGATATATCCGTGACCTAATTTCAATTAGAAGAATGTACTAGCAGTATTTCAACTGATTGTAATTGGTAGCTTAATTTTCGATCCGATTTTTTATAGAAATAACTTTAAATAGATTAATGCTGATTTAATTGAATCTGAGTTATATTAATTGAGAATTGAACTCCATAATCAAAAGAGGATTTTTTGATTATCATTCCTAGCAATCCAAACTAGTTTTATTCGAAATAGATTATATTATAATAACCTTTTTTGCTAGCTATTTGCTAGCTCAGTCCCTTTAATTAATATATGCCCTAATATCCAATTCAAGGATATTTTAGATTCTTTAATTATAATTAACTTCAATACTTTAATTACTCGAATTTAATATACTTGCTCTGAATAATCTGAGGGTATGTTTAATCGAAAAAGGCCCTACTTGATTATCTAATAAACCTTGAACTTCTTTCCATTACTAGCAATTGAACTAGCATATTCGATAGTTCGAGTAATTCCATATAGCTCTCTATTATAAACCAATTGATTGCTTCCAATATTGACTTATTCTTAATATAAAATCTGATCATTCAATTATATTGATACTATTCTTATATCAATACCTATTCTCTTTTTAATAAAAAAAATATTTGTATAAATATAAATAGTATTTTGATCTCTATATTTAAGATAATATTGTGAAGTATTATTGTCTTTTCTTTTGAACCTAGCTAATATTAACTTTGAAAGGGATTCTTTTTCCCTAAAGGGAAGTGAAAATGGATAATCTTTTCGAGAAAGAATGAATCAAATTCTTTATTAATTGATTCCTTAATTCTATTGAATTGGAATTGGCTTGTATAGCTTTCTTTGAGGAATGTTAATCGCTTCCCGATTAGTGTATTGATATACTAAAATAGCTTTTTCGATATTGATTGATATTTGGGTGAGAGTTTTGTTAATCGAAAAGTGTATTGCTTAATGTTGAGTTTAATTAGATATTTACTGGTTTTATTCCGATTTGATTTCTATTGAAAAATTGAAACGGTTTTTGAAAACTCCTAGTATTTTTTGGAAAGCTAGGTTTGAAAAGCTTGTATTTTATCTTGAAGGGACTTATCTTTTTATTAAAGGACTAATCGGTAATAATTAGTGAGTTATTTAGTTATTTATTGAGTATTGATTTATTGATTTATTGATTGATGTATTTATGTATTATTTATTTATTATTATGTATTTATTTATTTATTTAGTTATTTATTTATGTATTTATTTATTTATTTATTTATTTATTTATTTATTTATTTATTATTTATTTATTTATTTATTTATTTATTTATTTATTTATTTATTTATTTATTTATTTATTTATAGTGATTAACATCTAATATCTGACCTCCCAAGGGGTATTCTAAACATACTAAGAAGCGGGCCTACAGGCCGCTAGTGTTCCAGCCGTTCATAGTAATATAATGTTAGCTAATAGGGGCTTATTGCCTCTAATATTCCCTTGCTCAGTACCGCTCATGGCGATCCTGCGGCTGTTCTGTCTAAGGGTTTGTAGTCCTGTTCTAGAAGGCCTTGTTTTGTATGTTGTCCAGATGTTGGCAGATGATCGGATCGACCGCTATCGATTGGGAGAGCGCTCAGGGCGCTTATAACTGGTCGGTGCGGGTCTTAGGTTGATTGGGGTGGAGAGCTCGTCCTCGGGGTACTGGAAATCTGTAATTAATTATATTAATTATACAAGCTATATATAATTATTGAAGAGCTTTAGAACTCAGGCCTTTTTTAATATTTGCTAGTTGAGTTATTCAATAAAAGGCTCCTTTTATTTATATAATTCGGATATTAATATATTAATTGAATTTGAAATTTGAATCAAATCATATATCTAATCATCTAATTAAAAATTAAAGTTTAATAATATCCGAATTGAATAATATGATTAGAAAGTTTTTGATTAGCTTGGATACTAAAAAATACATTAATTCTGTCTTTATTAAATCAAATTGAATCGCACTTTTCAAACTGAATTATAGATTTGCTTTATAGCTTTCTCAAAAAATCTGTCACGGGATCACTTCTGGGAGTATTCAGAAGCTTTACCGCTGAGCTAAACGCCCAAAAGACTAGAAGGTAGAACTGGAAGTTCTACCTTACTCTCACATATATAGCAGAACAGAACAGAATAGAAAGGGCTTAATATCACCCCGTAACACTACCCCCCTCCTTAAGATATGATCTCCATACCATCACCTACTAGAAGGTTTCAGGATTCTGGATTCTAATGCCTCAGGCATTCAGACAGGCAGACAGAATCTATATATACTAGCCCCCAGACCAATGGCCTGTAAGCTATAAATAGGCCCCCCACACAGCTCCACTTATAACCAAGAATAGTTCTACCTAATATCACAAAATCACTTCTAGGAATATTCAGAAGCTTTACCGCTAAGCTAAACACCCAAAAGACTAGAAGGTAGAATTGGAAGTTCTATCTTACTCTCACATATATAGCAGGACAGAACAGAACAGAAAGGGCTTAGTATCACCCCGTGACAAAATCTAATATTCTTTTTTTATAAAAATGAGTTTGTGATTAAAGCAATATTATCAATATAAAAGAGAAATTTAATCGATTTTGAAAGAAATAATTCTCTAATATATATTAGGAAAAGGATTGGAGAAATTGAACTACTTTATAATATTCTAATCGAAATAGACTTGAAGGATTCGATTTGATTATTGAAAGAAAGTTTTAGCTATTTTTATTATAGAAAAAAGACTATTCAGGAAATGAGATTTGTTGATAGTTTTTAATTTCTTATAAATATCTAATAATTGATTTCTTGAAATATAATCAAAGGCTTCTTTTATATCTATAAATAAAACTAAGGTCTTTTTGTAGATTTGCTTATTTCTTTTGATTTTAATAATTAGAAAAAGGACTATATCAATTACTGATTTCTTTTGTTAGTCTTTAATTGATTTTTGTATAATAAATTGATAGTTTTTGTTAAATAGCTTAATCTTAAGCTAAAATCCTTTTATTAATCTTTCCAAAATAGTTTAGAAATATAATGATTCTATATACTTTTGAAATTAAGTAATCGGGTTTTGAAGGTTTTTTTTAGAATTATTTTAATAGCTTGTTTTTAGTATTGTGAATAATATTCTAAATTGATTAGGTTATTGAATAGATTGAAAAAGATTTATGGAATTATTTTATATACTTTTATAATAATCTCTAAATGATTCTATTTAAGCTAAAGGTTTTTCCTTGGATTTTGGCTGAGCAAATATTATTTAATTCGATTTGTGAAAAACTAGATCATTCCTATTTTTGGATTGCTTATATCCTTTTTATTATGGTTTTGGAGTAATAAAGGAGATAGGAATAAAGTTGATTTAAAAGCAAGTATTTTTCTTCAAAAAAGCTTTTTGTTGAAATGTTCGTATTCTTTGGTCTTAATAATCCTTTGTATAAACTATTACTTTGAATATTATCTATATATCCTCTTTTTCTAGGAATTCATTTCAATAATTCTTTTAGTTGTTTTAATAGCCTGAAAATACTTATTTCTAGTTAATTTGATATTCTTCTTTAAGGTTGAGTTTTTTAGATTCAATTCAATTGATTATTTTACTTTTTTTAGTTCTTTTCGAAAATGTATTAATTTAGGGATTTATTATAACTGCACTCTTCTAATTAATAAAGCTTTAGATATGGAAGTTTCAATAGCTTTTTGAATAATCCTTATAAGTTCACTTACTGTTTGATTCAGATTAGAATAATTATTTCTTTTTTTCAAATTATTTAGTAAATCCTCTTTAAATAAAACTATTAATATCAGAATAAAGAGAATAAAGGAATATAATAATTCTGATTTCAATATCAATTCGAATTTATTTCAATTAAGTAGTTTTATATTATATTTAGTTAGTAATATTATATTAAAAGGGCTTACTTCTTTTCTCTTTAGTTTTAAATAATATTCCTGTATAATTAAATCCTATATTTGAAAGTGTTTATTAATTTTGAATTTGAAAAACAATTTCTTTTGAGGCTAATATAAAATAATAATACTTGAATTGAGAAGATTAATATAATAAAAGATATTGAAATTAGACTTATTAAAAAAATAAAATTCTAATCTTCAAATCATTTAGTTAATTTATTAATATTTCTACTTTTCTTCAAAAAAGGATTTATTATAAATAATAAGAATTAAAATTACTTAGAAGAATGATTTCTTATACAATTATTAAATTGTATAAGTGTCACGGGATCACCTCTGGGAATATTCAGAAGCTTTACCACTGAGCTAAACGCCCAAAAGACTAGGAGGTAGAACTGGAAGTTCTACCTTACTTTTAC